CCTTCAGGAAAGAACTGTCTTTTTCTTTTCATGAAAGAGATAAATGAGTGGCTGATGGACTGGTGGGGGAAGGTGAGACAGGGCTGCCTGGGCCTCGGTGTATTTTCTGGAGATGCCAGGCCCCTGGAGTTCCTAAGGGTTGCATCTCCCTTAACAGATTTGGCTTCTGATGAACTGAGCCTGCCCTCTCAAACAGACTGGCTCAGGCCAGCGGTATTATTCACCGCTCCTTTGCTCCTCCAAACAGCGTGTCTAGCTCTCATCTGCAGGACAGTCTCCGTGCTGCTCAGACCTCTCCTCACTGCAGCACTGGCCGGGTCCCTGGAAAGTCAGAAGCTTGCATCTGGTTTCATGTTTGGTTGTGACGGAGCCCCCGACAGGGAGCCTGTCCTTGCCCTGAAGTCTCAGCATCACTGTATTTGCACTGCAATGCCACCACCCGGTGCCTACCACAGCATCTGTGCTGCCCTGCCTGTGTCCCATGCCGAGGGGATCACAGTAGTTATCACAGATCACATCCGCTGTCACTTCAGACCCCAGAGCTCCTAGATGAAAGAAACAAAACCCCTCCCCACTTCAAGTCACATGCTCTGCTCCGTGCTCGCCTCCCTGGACTTGTTTTGTGCTTCTTGAACCACTGGGCAAGTGTCTGCCCATATCTGAACCTCAGTTCCTCAACTGCAGAACCAACACAGTCCCAGTCATTCCCCTGATAATGAGAATATCAGTCACTTTCAAATCATTCCCAACACTTTCAGGCCCTCCTTCTCCAGAAGAAACTGCAAATTCCAAAGATCCTGAGCTCAGTGACTCTTTTCTTCTGCAAAAGAACAGCCCATTCTTACTCCAAGCTTGATGATTCCTGAAGAAATCTTTCCTCTCAAATTATGTGCTAATCTTGGCTGACAGGGTCTCCGTGTGGACAATGCACTTATTTAAGCCAGCACCTTAATAGAAGTGGTGTCGTCACATTCACTGTCAAGTGACAACGTGTTTGTGGACTTCAAATCCTCCTGCTTCATCTCTGCTGGCTCATGAGATGAATAACACACTTCTTCTGAGGAGAGCCCTTCTGCAGCTTGATTCCCACAAAAATGTTGTTCTAGGAAGCAGGGTTGTGACCCCAGGGATTAATTTATTAAGGAATGTTCCTAGTACATTTTTATTGATAGATGGATGTGATAGAGAAAATGATGGAGACACAAATAAAGGACAACAGCCAGGCCTGAATCTGGGCACATTAACGTCCCAGATGTGACCTGTGCTCCCTGCAGAAGCTCTGAGCCCAGCGCACTCTCTGTGGGCCCAGGGCTCAGGAAGCCTTCTCTGAAGAGGTGAAGATTTGCATCTCCTGGCCTGGAACAGTGACACATACACACACACACACACACACACACACACACACCCCTTTCTAGCTGGACTGAGAAGACACAGGGGCCTGCTCCAGGAAGATGAATAGATGGAGGTTGATTGACAGAGACAATGTTCTGTTCATGGGACATCGTGGGGTGGGGATCATCAGCGTGGGAAAAGACTCAGTCACGCAGCACTCAGCTGTTTGCAAAGCCATCCTCCTGTGTCTGCTTGTCTACTCACACAGACCTGCAGCCTCAGCAAAGTGGGGAAACTGAGTCTCAGGCTCAGGAAGTTGACCTCACAGGCAAATCCAGAGTTACTGATACAAGTTCAGAGCGCTGTTTTACATGAAAACATGTTTTTCTCTTCCCCAACCCTCCAAGCACACAAGAACGAAGGCCAAGGCTGAAAAAGCATCTTCGATGTGGCAGTGGGCTGCAGGGAGAGTGTGAGAGTTACCGCTGCGCGCTGCAAGCTTATGGCATTTGCACGCGCTTCCTGGTTTGGCCCCTGAATCCAGACAGCCCTGCCTCTCAATGCCATGCCGAGTAAGAAGGCCAGGGCCAACTGGCCCTGGTAAGTAAGAAGGCCTGCACAAGGCCAGTGCTCCAGTGCGCTCTCAGCCCATGCAAGAGTGTGTTACTCACTCCTGAAGCCCAAGCAGAGATGTAGAGATCATCTAGAGGAGAGAGGAGAGATGTTTATGACTCATTTCCACCTCACAGTGTGAGGCCCCTGAGGGGGACCCTGTCAATGTGATGTTTCCAGGATGCTGACACTCAGGAGACACGAGAGAGTCCTGCCCAGCTCACCCTGGGTGGGAGCCCCTTCTTGGTGGCCTGGCCACGATCTGGAGAAAGCAGAACTGCCCTGGAGGTGTTGCTTATTTGTCCCTCCCTCCAATCTTGTGTATGCCACACGGTGTCCTCAGCCTTTTGCATACAGCTGTCTGTAACCCTGGCCCTGTCTTCCAGGGGCCCGCTGTCAGGCGGATGTGGAAACGGTGACTCAAGAGGCTCCCTGCTTGTTGGCCATTTTCTGTGTCAGGTGGCTGGGGCCAAGGTTTGTGGCCAGACACCACGGGTGTCTGGGGCTAAGGTGAGCATCTAAATGGGCAGGCTTTGAGTGCACAGGGGGCCTCATCCAATCAGCTGAAGGCCTGTACTAAACAGACAAAAAAGTGACCTCGTCTGAGCAGGGGGATGCTCAGAGGAGGTCAGGGGTGTCACTGGACTTGAACTGCAGCACGGGCTGTTCTTTGGTCTACAGATAAGGGACTTTCTAGCCTTTGTGAAGGCTAGAAATGCGCCAGTCCTTGACATTTAATACTTAACTTTCCTCTATATGCTGTGTCCCAGTGGTTCTGTTGCTTTGGGGGAAATGCACCCTCCAGTGACGTCCCCTGGTCCCACAGCATCTCCTGCCCGGATCACCACGGTCTCCGGTCAGCAGCCCCTTCACATTCCTCTCACTGCTGGGTTCCCCAAGGAGGCCAGGCTGTTCTGCTGCAGTCTGCCCTGCCCACTGTGTCCCCAGCCTTGGCCACCTGGGCCCCTCTGTGGCTGTTTTCTGTCAGACTTTCTCCTGAACAAAACCAACAGGGATGAAGCAGAAGTGAAAGGAACTGTCTCCTCACCCCGTCTAGGGCCCCTTCTTCTAGAGCACCCGCAGGGGAAGCGCTCCGCTCCACAGGGGAAGCGCTCTGCTCCACCTGGGGAGCGCTGAGTTACTTCCTGGAGCGGCTTAATAAATGTTTCTGTGCGTTGCCAGGAACTCCGGGGTTCTTCCAGCCACAAGCAGTCGGCCCTTCCACCAAAATGACACCTTTGCCCCGCTTCATTCTCTGGGCCTTTTTTCTCTGATTTCTAGGAGATGCCTTCCAAAGCCTGGATTTCTCCAGTTGCCTTCTTTGTAAAGCAGTTCCTCAAGCACAGTCTCAGCCCCCAGCATCTGGTTCTTGTGCTGCGTTCATGTTTGTCACTGTCACTCTCGGAGTACGCGCTCTGTTCACTGGCAGGAGCTCTGGGCTGCGGCACGGCTCTCCGTTAGAAGCTTCTGGGGCAGTGACTCTGAGTAAGCAGCCCTCATTGTGCCTCGGTTCTGCACACACTGAAATATAAAATCAAAGCAAAGCAATGAGGATCTCACGATCGATTTTTCTTCAGATGAAGGCTAAATTAGAGGACTAGGCTTTTGCCTGAGATCAAATGGTCCTCAGTGAGTGCAAAGTACTCACCTACCATAGGAAGACCACATCCAGGGCTGAAGGAGTGTGTCCCTGGACAGGTAGGTGGCTCGGTCACCTGCACTCTGAATGGAAGGCCGCCCCTTCAGGAAGAAGAGCAGCTGGGTTTGCACCCTCAGCTCTTCTCTCCCCAGATGTACAAATCAGGGTTCTTAGGGAAAGTGACTCCCCGATCAGCCACAGGATGGTGCGCGGGTCAGCTCTTGGACAGCAAAGGTAACAGCTGCAGGAAACCAGACCGATTAGACTGTAGGCCGCGGCACTCTAGCCCCGCCCCTCATTTCCTATGTGGGGAAACTGAGGTCCAGGGGAAAGAAGGATCTTCCAGTCACTTAATTCTCTCCTAAGCGTTCTGTAACTTTAATCTGTAATTTGTGTGACAGACATTATGGATAACATGGTGACAAACCACCAAAGGCAAGAAAGACTGCTTTCACATCCTGGCACCTGACCGTGCTGCCCGAATAGCCGAGGCCAGCCGAGAGGCTCACTCAGAGAAACCCGGGTCAGGAGCTGTGAGGCGCTGCTCAAGGCCTGTCGGCACAGGGCTGCTTTTGTGGATGCAGGAAGCACAGTCTTTGTCTGACTCAGTTCTTGCCACATAATTAAAAGGGGGAGAAGTGAGATGCCAGGAGGAGATATGCATTGCATTTAATACACTTTAAATAGCTGTTCATTTTTAAAATTCTGGCCTCCCCCCACACCGTAATTCTTTACGTTACTTTTAAAAGAAAAAAAAAAATTTAGAATAGAAAAGGAGCAAGGAGCCGGGGTGGTGGCTCACGCCTGTAATCCCAGCACTCGGGAGGCTGAGGCAGGACGATCGCTGCGAGTTCGAGACCAGCCTGGGCTACAAAGTGAGCTCAAGGCCAGCCTGACCTGCATAGCTAGACCCTGTCTGGGAAAAAAAAAAAAAAAAAAAAAAAAAAAGGAGCAAGGACAGGAGAAGCAGTCTCCAACTTTTGCTGTTACTTCGGATTTTAATTTTGAAGAACGGCAAGGAAGCCGAAATGATTTTGGGTCTAGGGATGGGTACAATCATTTTTAATAGAAGTGGATTATGGGGGAGGGGGCGCCTGAGATTTCCAACTCTGCACTAACCGATGCAGATCTCTCCCAGCGACCCTTGGAACAGAAGGCATGCCTAATTCCACGCGCGTTCACACACTCACACGCAAAAGGTGTGGGGGGGGAGCTGAAATTAACCTCAGTTCGGGAAATACCGGTTAAATGCTTTGGGAACTTCATCATCAGCGTTGTATCTCGAGCGTCTTATTTCTCTGAGAGGGCCAGGAGCTTCTAAACCAAGAAAGGAAGAAGCGAGGCGGGGTGCGTACGAGTGCCTCCCCCAGCGGTTTTAAACCCGCGAGAGGAGCCGCGCGCTGCTGCTGCGCGGGCACCTGCGGCTGCGGCTCGGCGCGCGCCCCCCGGCGGGCTCCTGCGGTAGCGCACCGGGCGGAGGGAGAGGCCGCCGCACCCCGCCGGCCCGCGCGCACCCCGCTGCTGCGCTCCGCCAGCCTTCCGTTCCCACCCAACCGCGGGCAAAATCGCGGGCAGCGGTAGCCCACCCGAGGGGCGCGAGCCCGAGCCCAGACCCAGCGTCCCAACCCGCTGGGCGCGCGGGCATCTTCGGGGCATCGGCCGCGCAACTTCCCCGGGAGCCCACTTGTCTCACCTGCGGGCTCGCGCAGGGCGGGGTCTTGCTCCTGGACGCGCGGGCTGCAGAGGGCTGGTGGCGGCTCCGGAGTAAGAGGTGGGCCGTGGCGGAGGACCCTCGCGGGTGCGGGCCAGGGTCCCGCAGTCAGCGGCGGGGCGCCCCGGCAGGCTTTTAGGCAGGGACCCCCGGAGGCACAGTGGACAGAGCTCCAGGCGGGCAGGTATGGAAATTAGGGGTTCGGCGGGCGGACCCTCCAGGGGTGTCTCAGGCCGCGGTGGAGGACACACAGGGTGAGGGCTTCAGGACGGGGCGGCCGGTGGTCCGCGGGAGGCTGCCGCGCCGAGGTGCTGGGCATTGCGGTCCCTGGGACGGCTGGCTGGGCAGCGTCCAGTGGGCGGAGGAAAGCGGTGGATGCTGATCCTCCCCTGTCCTTCGCCCCGGGGGAAGCGCCGAGCCCTTCGCGGGTAAAGGCTTCCTGCCTCATGTCGCTGCTCAATGGAGGGTTTGGGGGTGGTCGGCAGTAGTGCCCGGGATCTCAGATGATTTGGGGTCCCCAGGAAGGGGACCAGTGCATCCCGGGTGTGTAGGAAGGGGAGTGACACAGTCTGGATCTCATGGCCCTGCGGTCTGTTTCAGGGTCCGGTCGGCCCGTGGGGACCCCACATCCCGCAGTGCTCGATTGGAGGATGGCGGGCGCGCTAGCCGCCAACTGGAGCGCGGAGGACGCAGCCAACGCGAGCGCCGTCCTTCCAGGGTCCGAGCGCAACTCCACGGCCGGACCGCCGCAGCGCAACGAGGCCCTGGCGCGCGTGGAGGTGGCCGTGCTGTGCGTCATCCTCTTCCTGGCGCTGAGCGGCAACGCGTGTGTGCTCCTGGCGCTGCGCACCACGCGCCACAAGCACTCGCGCCTCTTCTTCTTCATGAAGCACCTGAGCATCGCCGACCTGGTGGTGGCCGTGTTCCAGGTGCTACCACAGCTGCTGTGGGACATCACCTTCCGCTTCTACGGGCCCGATCTGCTATGCCGTCTGGTCAAGTACCTGCAGGTGGTGGGCATGTTCGCCTCCACCTACCTGCTGCTGCTCATGTCCCTGGACCGCTGCCTGGCCATCTGCCAGCCGCTGCGCTCGCTGCGCCGCCGCACTGACCGCTTGGCTGTGCTCGCCACGTGGCTGGGCTGCCTAGTGGCCAGCGTGCCGCAGGTGCACATCTTCTCCCTGCGCGAGGTGGCCGAGGGTGTCTTTGACTGCTGGGCCGTCTTTATCCAGCCCTGGGGGCCCAAGGCCTATGTCACGTGGATCACTCTGGCCGTCTACATTGTGCCAGTCATCGTGCTGGCTGCCTGCTACGGCCTCATCAGCTTCAAGATCTGGCAGAACCTGAAGCTTAAGACAGCGGCCGAGGCTGCAGCCCAGGGGCCGGAGGACTCGGCCACTGCCGGCACAGAGCGAGCGGCGCTGGCCAGAGTCAGCAACGTCAAGCTGATCTCCAAGGCCAAGATCCGCACGGTCAAGATGACCTTCATCGTCGTGCTGGCCTTCATTGTATGCTGGACGCCCTTCTTCTTCGTGCAGATGTGGAGCGTGTGGGATGCAGATGCGCCCAAGGAAGGTAGGTGGAGCCGGGGATTGGGAGGAGGGAGCCTGGGCAACTGGGTTTGGGGCCAAGAATAAGTGGGCCTGAGTGTGGGCACCATTATCAGCCGGCCTGGTGGCTTTGTGCAAGGAACCTCCCTAAGCCTCAACCTCAACTTCTGTAAAACGGCACCAGCCTCAGCTAGGTGCCAGGGAATGGAATGAATGGAGGAGCTGCAGTCGAGGGCTTACTGTGGGCTGCAGGCTGATTAGGGAGCTCAGGGCCGCGGTTGTGCAGGACATTGAAGCTCAGCTAGCCAGGGAGGCAGGTGAGTGTGCAGCTGGGGAAGGCTCCTCCCTCCCCTCCACTTTAGATTAGACCTTTGCTTTACATGCCAGTCGGCAGGCACTGATGAAGTTAGATCTACTTGAGGGCAGACTGTCCAACCCAATCTTGAGGTGTCCGCCGGGGATGGCTGCGGAAGGGAAGATGCTCTTGAGCCCCCTCTAGCGGAGATGGTGAGCTGCCTGCAGCAGGGTAAAGGTGAGCACTACACTCACTGGGCCTTGGGCGGGTTCAGGGCCAGCACCCAGAACAATGCACTTCACTGGTAAGAAAGAGAAGGGGGAGGAGGCTTCGTGGGTTTCTGTATGGGGGCCCGGCAAGCCCTCTGCTTTGGAGGGCTGCAGTGGCCGCTGGGAACACCCAGGCTTTGCGCTTTCCTCCTGCCCTTCCTGGCTGGGTGTCCTAGGGGAGGTCAAGGGACCCTTAGTGTCTTACTTAAGGCATGAGAGCGTTTCAGGGCCCAGTTCATTTTTTTTAGCAGATATTCCAGCTCCTGTCTTGGCCAGTATTTGCTGAAAGGCCAGCAGGAGGGGCTTGAAGAGGGTATGGGGGTTAAAGGTTGGGGGAGCACAGGGTACCCCAGGGCTCCAGAGATTGTGATTGGTGCTGGGCAGCTACCCTCAAAGCACAGTGCCCAGACAACCCATCACACTCCTGCTGATTCTGGTAGTTTATCTGAGAGAAGCAGGAGGCACTGGCGCTGGTGGACAGTGACTCTGAAGGAAAGCCCCTAACACGTGCTGGACTGTGGGGGACTCACTTTTCAGCCTTGCACAGAAGACCAGGCGCTTAGCTCCTCAGCCTCTGCCTGCAGACAGTGCAGAATTCCCATATCTGGGTAGATCTGCTCCCTGCAAGCTCACAGCCGTCTGTCCTGGGAAGCTGGAACCTCCAGCTGATAACTTTGTCTTGGTCCCTTCCAGAAGACAGACTCCTGGCTTCCCCGAGCCCTCCTGGTTAGCACCGTGGTGGCCAGGCCACTTGTCATCGGCAGGGATTGAGTATCCTGGTGTTCAGGGTGAGGATACTGTGGGGACCCAGCAAAGCTCAGCCTGACTCCAGTGTGTGGCCACACCGTCCAGAGGGGTCTCTGGAGCCCAGAACAGGGAAGACACTTGTACTGGGTCACACAGTATTCAAAGGGAGCACAGCATCTGGAGCTGGGGTTTCCCACACCCATTTTCTTATGAGGAGCACGCGGTTAGGGAGTTGGGAGAGAGATCTGGTGGTGGATGTAATATGCAGGGCTTCGGACCACGCCCATTTCCTTGGCAGGATCCAAGGACCCTGTTTGTCTTCCTCCCTCCTCCCTTCCTTCCTTCCTTCTTTCTTTCCTCCCTCCCTCCCTCCCTCCCTCCCTCCCTCCCTCCCTCCTTCCTTCCTTCCTTCCTTCCTTCCTTCCTTCCTTCCTTCCTTCTAGCCCTACCACACCTGTCTCTTTTTTTTATTGGTCTTACTAAGTTGCTTAGTTGCCCAGGCTGGGCTTGATAGCTTGATATTTTTTTCAGTACCGAGGATCAAACTCCCAACCTCGTGCTTGCCAGGCAGGTGCTTATGCCACTGAGCTAAATTATATTTTGATCTTCTAGCCTCAGCTTCCCAGAGTGCCAGGTGTATAGTTATGCACCACTGTGCCTGGTTCAGACCCAGATCTTAAGATACTAGAGCCCAGGGCCTGGTCCTTCCTCCTGCCCTTCCTGACGAGGGTGTACCTTTATTCCCTTTGACTTTAGGGATTTGGTTTTAGGATGAGAGCATTGCAGGATTCTGTTCATTTGGAACATATTCCAGTTCTGCTCTTTCTTGGGCTCCCCCCGTATTTTTGCAGAACCAAGGATTGAATTCAGGGCTTTCAAGTGGAGCTACATCCCCTTTCCCTTCTCCTCTACCCCTTTTTGAGGCAGGATCACTAAGTTGCTGAATTGCTTAGGCAGGGCTCGAGCTGTCAGTCCTCTTGGCTAGGCCTCCCAGAGTGCGGGGATTGCAGGCATGCACCCCCCGCTGCCCTCTCCCATTCATTTTATGATCACCCCCCTTCTCTTTGCACCCCCCCCAGGCACTCCCTTCTCCCTTGGTCTGCTCCCTGAAGAATGAAGATGATCCCCTCCTTCAAGCAGCTGGACACTGGCTGGTCCTGGTTTGGAACGGCCAGTAGATAGCACCCAGGAGATATCCACAGCCCTGAGTACCTCTCTGGCTATCAGAGAAGCCAGGCCCATTGCAAGTGGGTGGGCATCAGAGAGGAGAGGATTGGCTGGATGCGGCTGGGCTTTGCTGCCTGAGCACAGTGGAAGGTGACGGTGCAGCCTCCCTTCTCAGATGCCCTCGAGCTGCAGGGAAGTGTTAGAATTAACAAAAACAATCTCACCACACTTTGCAGATACAATGCCTTCATCCTTCAGAAGGACCGGTGCCCTTCTCTTCAGATGTGCTGACTTCCCCGGCGGGCTGGGGCCTCTCCTGCTCCGAAGCCGCAGGGACCGAGCCCCTGGCTGGCTGGGATCCGCTGGTCTGAGTGCCTCTTGTGCTGCCACTCTGTCCCGTGTGCCCTTGTGCACTTGCTTCATCCCCCTGAGCCTCAGATTCTGCCAGGTACCACAAGGGCAGTACCGCCCACCTCACAGGATGACGTGAGGATGAAGTGGTGTCACCCATGGCCTCCAGGTGCCGCGTGATTGATGTCACACTTTTCGCAGCCCACCCTGCCTTGTACAAGTTTTACTGGCCTTCTTGGGATACACTCAGAGGATCTCAGCAGTTGTAACTGATGGAGGAAATGGATCTTTTGTCTTGAGCCTGGATAGAGGGAGTAGGGATGAAGGTAGAGTCGTGGGGAGAATCTGGTGGACAGCGTGAGTCCAGTACCTGGCATAGTGTGGCCATTGCTAATAGAGCGATCTGTGCTTGTGTGGCAGGTCAGTGGGCTGTGGGTGGAGACCGCACAGGAGGAAGGAAGCAATGATGGGTGTGACGAGCTCAGCGAAGGACTTTTCAAATAAGCCCAACAGTAGGTCTGGCGACGTGTGGCAGAGGTGCGTGCTCCACCACGGGGGTGAGCAGACATGTGACAGGTGTATTGGACCAGGAAGGCTTCAGGGCACAGGAAGCCTGGTTTTTAGGCTTTTCTATCTGTAGAATCAGCTTCCCAGCACCGCCCATTTCTGGGGACCTGAGGTCTCTCCAGCATGGCCCGTCTGCTGTTCCTTCCCTGCAGATGCTGTGCCCATGCTGTGGGCGTAGGCAGACCACCTTGCAGGGCTTGTCTATCGGGGCACCCTGCCCTGAGGAGCATGTTGGGAGGTGGGCAGGACAGAAGGGTGTTGGACAAGCCTGCCGCCTGTGTGGAGTTTTGTAGGTGGGAACTCCCCCTTCTGAGTGTGAGCTGCCATTAGCTGACAGCCAGCAGCAACCTGGGGGAGCTGCTGAGTTCTCTTCAGTTCTTGGCTAATGTTAGTACTTTTCGGGGCTTTCTTCCCCGAGGTGACTTCACCACCTGCCCCTCTCCTCAAAGGTTTGTTAATACCAGACAGAAAGAATATGTCCCGTGAGGTTTGGGGGCCTATTTTCCCTGTGGTGACTGCCTCCATAGCTTGGGGACAGTCAGGGGGCCTTTCAGGGTGACATTATGAAGGGGTTGGAGGACGAGGCTCTCAGCAGGGCCCTGGGCTGTGTCTGGAGAGGCTGGCTGGGCTGGGGCGAGGGGTGGACCTGCCTGGTGACCCCAGCACCTCCCCATGGCAGCTGGCCAGAGCTGAGGAGACTCTACTAGCTCACAGGGTGGGCCTGGCCTGAGCTCGTGTCCCGTACATGCCTGCTCATGGCCTCTGGCCTGGCCTTGGGTGCTCCCTCAGTGAGGCTAGGACTTACCACTTCCCCAGGCTGCCTTTAAGCCCATATTAAAGTTGCTCTGGCCTTGAGGTTACCCCAGTATCTTCCATGGAGGCCCAATCTTTGAAGCTCAAATCCAACATGTGGGCTGCTTTGTGGCACAACTTTAGGGGTGCCTTTTACCCCTTGGCTGGTGAGAATAGTGCAGTGCACATCTTGAACAGCTGGACACAGCAGCCTCATCCAGTGCTGCTTTTCTGAAACCGTCTCTGTTTCCTATTGTTTAGGGTTTCCTTCTTCTGAACACAGATGTATCATTCCATACAGGAACTGAGGACCTCTAGGGTCCCGTCCACACAGCCCCTGCATTCATCAGTCAGTCCTCCAGGAGAGGAAGTTTTTAAGGAGCAGATGCAGCCACTTGCCCACCCATCTGTGGCCAGCATGGGCACACAAACGCATGGGGCAGTGAGGCCAAGGTCAGTGCAGAGCTCCGAGTCTGCCTGCAGACCTGGGACGGGATACCTTGGCTCTGGCTGGCCAGAGTCTGGCTCTTAAGGTCTTCAAGTGTACCCTCGTGGAGCAGTGGCACCTGCCCTTCCATTCTGTGGTTAGGAATAGACTGAGGCTATCGGGGCATGACGGTGCCCGCCTGTGGTACCAGCACTTGGGAAGCTGAGGCAGAAGGGTCACGGTGAGTTCAAGGTCAGCTTGGACTACACGGCAAAACCCTCTCTGAACAGTAAAAAACTGCAGAAACAAACCAACCACAGCAGAACGGGCTAAGTCTGTAAACCCAGCACTCTGGGAGCCTGAGACAGGAGTACTGCAAGTTCAAGCCCAGCCCGGGTGACGAGTGGGGC